GGCCACTAAGATGATTAGGGGACTGGAGCATCTGACCTATGAGGAAAGACTGAGAGAGCTGGATCTATTTAGCTTAGAGAAAAGGAGGCTGAGGAGGGTTATCATCAATGTTTATAAATATCTAAAGGGCAGGTGTCAGGAGGATGGGGTCAGACTCTTCTCAGTGGTGTCCAATGAGAGAACAAGGGGCAATGGTCACAAACTGGTACACAGGAGATTTAACCTGAATATGAGAAAAAACTTCTTTATTCTGAGGGCAACAGAGCACTGAAACAGGCTGCTCAGGGAGGTTGTGGAGTCTCCAACCCTGGAGGCTTTCAAAACACACCTGGATGTGTTCCTGTGTAATCTTTTCTAGGAGATCCTGCTCTAGCAGGGGGGTTGGACCATCATGATCTTCAGAGGTCTCTTCCAAGCCCTACCATTCTGTGATTCTATGATTCTGTGAAACAATTTTCCCTTGGAGGTTCATTTAGGACTGGAAAAAGGAACCCAGAGAGGTGGTGAAACTTCTGTCACTGGAGGACTTGCCTAGACAAAGCCATGGCTTACTTGGTCTCATGTTGCCAATAACCCTACTTGAGTGAAAGGCTGGATTAGGTAGACTCCAGTGGTTCCTTTCAGCTAAGGCTTCTGGGATAATACTCTGCTGTCATTTCAGTGATGCTTCAGTGGGAGATGTGTGACAGTGTGAGTACTTACAGCTGTTTACATTTCAATGGATTAAATGTGTGGCTGTTACTTGTTCTATGGTGCCTAATGGTCTCAGCAATGCAGCAGCATCCCTTCTGCTGTACAGGCATGGTCATGTTCTTTTAGGTTATAGAAGTAACTGCTCTCATCCAACTCTAATCCTTACTCTGAAACCACTCATGTAGTCAAACTGCATGTTTATTGGGTAGGAGTTGTAATATTGTATTATGAGTCTGATTCTGGAAATAAACTGTAAATTACTATTCCTGTTTTTATCATGAGAAATTTCTGGTAAAATAAAGGGGAAATTCTTATCCAAATGTAAGTGTCCCAGTATCTTAGTGCAAAGAATGTAGGAGATTCCTTCTTGGAAAAGCTACTTGGCAACAGAAGAGCATATGAGTTTTCCTACTCAATTCCTAACAGAGCAGCTTACAGCACAATTTCTCTCATGACTTATGCCTAATGATAAGCAAAGGAGTAGTTTTGCTGAAGTACATGCATATTTATAGCTAGAATTGCACTTAAGTATTTTGCTGATTGTTTACGTATTACAGAATCACATAATGTTTGCAGTTGGAAGGGGCCTCTTGAGATCATCAAGTCCAACCTCCCTGTTCAAGCAAGGTCAGCTAGAGCAAGTCACCCAGGAACAATAAGGAATTAATAATAGTGAGAAATTAATTCTAATATTTATCCTTGAGGCTTAAGTTGGATATGTATCAGCTACCCAAATAAATTTACTGCATTTGCTCCTCATTGTAATTATGAGTGACAAGTTTAACAAAAACAGTCCTTAAACTCAGAAATTCAAATTGTAATATTTTCCTAAAAAGTCAGTTTCTTTCTATTAGCATTATATTAGCATTTAAGCTATGATATTGAATATCTTTGCTTTTTTTTCTATGCATTTGCTTTCTTTTAAACTTTTTTATTCTATCAAACAGAAACTACAAAAAGCAAAAGGTTTTCTTCATGTGATTCTTTCAATAGAAGCCAGAGGCTAATAGTTTTTCATGATACTTTTTAAATTCAGGTTTAAAGTGATGGCTTTGGGGACAGTTTCTTAAAACTGATGAGAGTTTTATATGTGTTTAACAAAATGTTGTCTACTTTCCTTATAACAACAGGGAAAGGGAAAAAGCCAGTGAGATCTCCCTTAATTCAGGCAACTGGTAAACATTTTTATTTACTTCCTAAGGAGGGGCTCAGTTTTGGAAAGACCACCCACCTGAAGGAAGCAATTACAGGGACGGAATGGAAGAGTTAGATCCTACAGGATTTATTATTGCTAAGACTATACATCAGGAGAAGATACAGGTATGCTCTTGTCTTTAGAGCATGTTAGGTATTTTATTTTCTCACACCTTAATAGTTAGAGGTACTACTGTCCATATTGTGAGTGTAGTTTGTGGCAGTAAAAAAAAACAAACCCAAAGAAAAAAAAAGCTATTAAAAAAAAAGTGTTAATTTAGGACATATATTCCCTTATTTTTTTCCCCTTGAATTTTAGCTATGATATTGTTATTAGGTCTATATTTTATAAAGTTATAAAAGGAATGGTCGTGATTGTACTTTAACAATTAACCTGAGGGAAAAGCAGTGAATGTTTGTTACCTGGACTTTTACTAAAGTAAAGCCTTTGACAACATTTCCCACAGTAGTCTCCTGAAGAAACTGGCTTTTCACAGCATAAACCAGTGTACTCTTTGCTGGAGTTGTGGCGAACGGAGTTAAATCCAGTTGGTGGCTGGTCACAAGTGGTATTCCCCAGGGCTCAGTTTTGGGGCCAGTTCTCTTTAATATTTTCATCAATGATCTGGATGAGGGGATCCAGTGCACCCTCAGGAAATTTGCAGACAAAACCAAGTTGGGCAGGAGTGTTGATCTGCTTGAGAGTAGGAAGGCTCTACAGAGGGATCTGGACAGGCTGGATCAATGGATTGAGGCCAATTGGACGACATTCAACGAGGCCAAGTGCTGGGTCCTGAACTTGGGTCATAACAGCCCCATGCAGCACTACAGGCTGGGGAAAGAGGGTCTGAAAAGCTGCCCAGTGGAAAAGGGGGTTGTTGGTCAACAGTTGCCTGAATATGAGCCAGCAGCGTGGCCATGTGGCCAAGAAGGCCAATGGCATCCTGGCTTGTATCAGTGTGGCCAGCAGGACTAGGGAAGGGATTGTTCCCCGTACTTGGCACTGGTGAGGCCATACTTCAAATACTTTGTTGAGTTTTGGGATTATCACTACAAGACAGACATTGAGGTGCTGGAGTGTATCCAGAGAAGGGTTACAAAGCTGGTGAAGGGTTGTCCTGGTTTGAGCCAGGATGAAGCCTAGGGCACAAGTCTTACAACGAGTGGCTGAGGCTACTGGGGTTTAATCTGGAGAAAAGGAGGCTGAGAGGTGATCTTTTTGCTATCTGCAACTACCTAAAGGAGGTTGTCGTGAGGTGGGTGTTGGTCTCTTCTCCTAAGTAACAAGTGATAAAACAAGAGGTAATGGCCTCAAGTTGCACCAGGGGAGGTTTAGATTGTGTATTAGGAAAAATTTCTTCACATAAAGGGTTATCAAGCATTGGAACAGGCTGCCTAGAGATTGACTCACCATCCCTGAAGGCATTTAAAAGACCTGTAGATGTAGTGCTTAGGGACATGGTCTAGTGGTGGATTTGGTAGTGTTATGTTAATGGCTGGACTTTATGATCTTAAAGGTCTTTTCCAACCTAAATTATTCTATGCTTCTATGATTCTATGGATCAGCAACAGGAGAATCTGCAGGATTCACTTTCTTTATTTTGTTCTCTGGAGGCCTGTTTGGTGGTGAAACTGTTTTTTTGAGGAGGCAGCTCCTAAAAAAACAGATCCATAGGTATGCCTAATCAGGGCTGCCTTAGAGTTTTCCAAATAAAGAAAGAAGTAGCTTTAATTCCTGGTACCGAACTCTGTTCTCTCTCTGTATTAACTGCATCATGTCAGCCTAACAGTTCTTCAGAATTGTATCAAAACACAACATAATTTTACAGTTTCAGAAAGCCCTTACAATCAGAACTGTATGCTTCACTTACTTACGTTTCCACTATAATGTGAAATGTTTTAAAGTCTGACCCATTGATGTTAGAAACAAATTTGCCATTTGTAAGATTTTATGTCATAAACCTTTGATTTGGGGAAATATTCTCAGATTATCTATGAGTTAAATCCAAATTTACCTGGAACTATTTTATAGTTGATCTCTTTCAAAAAATTAAAGATTACTTGTATTTAAAGTTCAGGAAAGTCATATAAAATAATTACAGTTCTTAAAACTTTGTTACTATGTCTTGTTGTGCACTTGTCTCTGTCTTGAACCACATGCATTTCAGTGCCATTATGACTGATCGTAACTGCATAGTCAGCATTTACAACAGTACCTGTTACAGCTATCATGTCTGTGACCTTTTTTTAAAAAGAATAATTATGCAGGAAACTGCCTGCATTTTTTACCACAATTTACCACTTACCAATGATTAAATGAATCAGTTAAAGCTTACATTTCTGTAAGAAGGTGTAGAGTTGCTGGAGTGTGTTCAGAGGAGGGCTACCAAGCTGGTGAAAGGTCTGGAGAATAAACCCTATGAGGGGAGGCTGAGGGAACTGGGATTGTTTAGTTTGAAGAAGAGGAGGCTGAGGGGAGACCTCATTGCTCTCTACAACTACCTGAAAGGAGGTTGTAGGGAAGTGGGAGTTGGCCTCTTTTCTTGAGTGAGTGAATAATGACAGGATGAGAGGAAATGGCCTGAAGCTGTGCCAGGGGAGGTTTAGACTGGATATTTGAAAGAATTTCCTTACTGAAAGAGTTGTTGGACAGTGGAACAGGCTGCCCAGGGAGGTGGTGGAGTCACCAGCCCTGGAAGTGTTTAAAAGAAATATAGATACAGTGCTTAGCAACATGATTTAAGCACTGAATGGGTAAATCAAGTTATGGTAGGGGGATTTAGGTTATGGTTGGACTTGATGATCGTCAAGGCCCCTTCCAACCAGGATGATTCTATGATTCTATGATTAAATGGATCTGTTTATCACATATAATAGATTTGGATGGATTAATTTAAAAAATATATTTAATAAATATTTAGTGTTAAACATTAAATATTAAACATTATTTATTGTAAAATATTATATATTGTATTTTATTAGTTAATTATATATTATTAGATAATAATGTAATAGTATTGTTTAATGTTATTTAATTATAAATATTTGATATTATAACTTAAACACATTTTCACAACTGCATAAATTTGTCTATTTTTTTATTCCAGAATCGAATGGAAGAAAGCAAAGCACTCTTTAGGACAATTATCACATATCCATGGTTCCAAAATTCTTCCGTCATTCTTTTCTTAAATAAAAAAGATCTCTTAGAGGAGAAAATTATGTATTCCCATTTAGTTGATTATTTCCCAGAGTATGATGGTAAGTATATTGCCACCAGAGCTCATGCTCCATTTACAAAATGTAATAGCTTTGCCCATATTTTGCTTAGAGGTTCTTAGGACAAAGATTATCACCCATTCTTCATTACACCTATCTTCTTCTTTACAAATTGTACTTAATACACCAAATGGTTACTTTGTAGTTGAATGACTTGCTGGTCATGTTTTTAAAAAAACTATATGAAAAGGAAAAAAATCTTTAAAATAGCAATTTATAATACTCAAATTTTTTAAGTCACTGAAGTCTTGTGGGATTTTCTAGACTGCTATCTAGATTGCTAAGATTTCACTTTATACCTCCATTAATTATGAATTGGATGGCAGTATCTTCCATGTGAAATTATTGATTTTAGATTAGTAATATCATATTAAAAAGGGACCTTATTCTGTCCTTGTTCATAAGTTGGGGTGAGGGTTTGAACTGAAGTGTAAAGCTGAAATTACATAAAAATACATTTGTCATTTTTACACAGTGTCTCATGTACTCTTTTAATTGTTTGGGAGCTTTTTGTTTTGTTGTTGGTTTTTTGTTTAAGGCTGGATATCTGAACAGAAGTGTAAAAAATTCTCTGTGGCTGTCAGAGATACTCCTCCCACCCTTTCATTATACCATTTCTTTTTTGTTTATTTTATGTTACTTACATGAAGTTTAATGTGCTTGTCCTGGAAAATATTATATGCAACACACAGCTGTTTCTAAGGAAGCTGTACTTTCAGAAAATTCTCCTGAGGTGAAAATAGTGGAGGCTTGATAACAGAGAAAAAAATCAAATTAATACATTAATATCTTTTTTGTCTTACTAGAGAGTGAAAAGCAGATTAAAAAGCTACCAAAAAAAATATAAATCTCTCATTTTCAAAAATACAGAGTGATAAAAGGAAAAAGTTACACTTTTTACCTGTTTGAGAGGAAAGGATACGTTCACAGCGAACAGCTTGCAGGATCAGACCATACTTATTTATGAGTCAGTGTAAGTTTAGTTTGATAGTACTATACAGAAGAGAACTGGCAGCTGAATAGAAATTATTCTTGTCCTTTCAAGTTGCAAGTGTGATAGGTGCCCTAGATGACATCTGCAGGTGAGAAGGCTCTATGGGTCCTTCTTTTGCAGGAAAGGTCAACTCTCAGCCGGGACATCTCTCTGCTGGGACATCTCTTCAGCAGAACATCTCTGCGCCAGAACACCTGCACAGCCCTGTGTACACTGCTGATCCACAGATAAATGTCTCAGCATAGAGATGTCCCGACGTAGAGATGTCCCTGCACAGAGATGTCCCAGAGGAGAGTTAGTGGTGGAGAGTTGTCCTGCAGAGAGTTGTCCTAGACCCCCTTCTGTTATTGTCACTCAAGTGGATATATACATGGATATGTGTTAAATGCTTGTACAGAAAAAGCAGACAAAATTCATACAGAATGCTTGAGGTTGGAAGGCATCACTTGAGATCATCTGGTCATAGAATCATAGAATCATAGAATGGTTTGGGCTGGAAGGAACCTAGAAGATCATCTAGTTCCAACCCCTCTGCAGGGGCAGGGACACCTTCCACTAGACCAGGTTGCACAAAGCCCCATCCAACCTGGCCTTGAACACCTCCAGGGAGGGGGCATCCACAACCTCCCTGGGCAACCTGTTCCAGTGCCTCATCACCCTAACAGTAAAGAATTTCTTCCTAACGTCTAACCTAAATCTACCCTCTTCCAGTTTAAAACCATTACCCCTCGTCCTATCACTAGGAGGGGTCCAACCCCTTTGCTCAAACAAGGTCGCCTGTTGCCCAGGACCATGTTCAGATGCATTTTGAATATCTCCAAGGAGGAAGATTCTACAACCTCTCTGGGCAACCTATTCCAGTGTTTGGTCACCCTCATAGTAAAAAAGGGTTTCCTGATATTCAGATAGAAACTCCTGTGTTTCAGCTTGTTCACATTACCCCTTGTTCTGTCACTGGACACCATCGACAAGAGCCTGGACTGCTTTCTCTATACTCTGCCTTCAGGTATTTGTACACATTGATGAGATCCCCACCTGAGCCTTTTCTTTAGAGTAAACAGTCCCAGGTTTCTCAGCCTTTCCTCCAGTCCCTTAATCATCTTTGTGGCCCTTTGCTGTCCTCTCTCTAGTATGTCCATGTCTCTCTTGTACTGGGTAGCCCAGAGATGGACACAGGACTCCAAATAGGGGTTCACCAGTGCTACGTAGAGGGGAAGGATCACCTCCCTTGACCTGCTGGCAACATTCCAGACAAGGATACCATTCGCCTTCTTTGCAGCAAGGGCAAATTACTGGCTAATCTTCAACTTGGTGTTCAGCAAGACCCCCAGGTCCTTTTCTGCCAAGCTGCCATCCAATTTTGGTGTCTGGGCTTGTTCCTCCTCAGGTACAGGACTTGGAACTTCCCTTTGCTGAACTGCATGAGGTTTGTTTCAGCCCATTTCTCCATCCTGTTGAGATCCCTTTGGATGGCAGCCACTCCTCCCAGTTTTGTGTCATCAGCAAACTTGCTGATGGTACACTTTGCCCCATCATCCAGATCATTAATGACAACATCCTGGTCTCTAAATTGGAAAGATATGTATTCAATGGATGGACCACTCAGTGGATAAGGAAATGGCTGGATGGTCGCACTCAAAGGGTAGTGGTCAACGGCTGATTCCATTCTTCAAAAAGGGCAAGAAGGAGGACCCAGGGAACTAGAGGCCAGTTAGTCTCACCTCTGTCCCTGAGAAGGTGATGGAGCGACTCATTCTGGATGTCATCTCTAAGCACATTGAAGAACAGGAAGTTATTGGGAATGGTCAACATGGATTTACCAAGGGTAAATCATGCTTGACCAATCTGCTAGCCTTCTATGATGACATAACTGGTTGGTTGGATGAGGGGAGAGCAGCAGATGTCATCTACCTTGACTTCAGCAAAGCTTTTGACACTGTCTCCCATAGCATCCTCATTAGGAAACTTAAGGAATGTGGGCTAGATGAGTGGACAGTGAAGTGGATGGAGAGTTGGCTGTGTGACAGAACTCAGAGGGGTTGTGAACAATGGAGCAGGGTCAAGTTGGAGGCCTGTAGCCAATGGTGTCCCCCAGGGGTCAGTACTCGGTCTGGTCTTGTTCAACATATTCATCAATGACCTGGATGAGGGGACAGAGTGTATTCTCAGCAAGTTTGCTGATGATACCAAACAGGGAGGGGTGGTGACACTCCAGAGGGCTGTGCTGCCATCCAGCATGACCTGGTCAGGCTGGAGAGCTGGGTAGAGGAGAACCTAATGAGGTTCAACAAGGGCAAGTGTAGGGTCCTGTACCTGGGGAGGAAGAACCCCATACACCAATATAGGTTAGGGGTGGACCAGCTGGAAAAGCAGTTCTGAGAAGGATCTGGAAGTCTTGGTAGATAGTAAACTATCCATGAGCCAGCAATAGGCCTTTGTCACCAAGAGGGCCAATGGAATCCTGGGGTGCATAAGGAAGTGTGCGGCCAGTAGGTCGAGAGAGGTCATCCTCCCCCTCTGCTCTGCCCTGGTGAGGCCACATCTGGAATACTGCGTCCAGTTCTGGGCTTCCCAGTTCAAGATAGATGGGAGACTACAAGAGTCCAGCAGACAGCAACAATGATGAATGGGGGACTGAAGCATCTCTCTTATGAGGAAAGGCTGAGAGAGCTGAGACTCTTTAGCCTGGAGAAGAGAAGGCTGAGGGGCGATCTTATTGATGCCTTTAAGTATCTAAAGGGTGGGTGCAAGGAGGATATAGCCTGACTCTTTTCAGTAGTTCCCTGTGACAGGATGAGGGCCAACAGGCACAAGCTGGAACATAGGAAGTTCCATTTAAATATGAGGAAAAACTTCTTTATGGTGAGGGTGACAGCACTGGAACAGGCTGCCCAGGGAGGTTGTGGAGTCCCCTTCTCTGGAGATATTCAAGACCTGCCTGGATGCAGACCTGCGTAATGTGCTCTAGGCAATCCTGCTTCAGCAAGTGAGTTTGAGTAGATGATCTCTAGAGGTGCCTTCCAACTCTGACAATTCCATGATTCTGTAAGGAAAATTTGGATACAGGCAGTACATTTTGAGATAGGATAACCCTATCCACTTTAAAACTTTAACAAAATTCTAGGAAGTTGATTAAAATTATATAGACTAAAAAATGGCCAATTCTATTATTTGTTTAAAATATTTATTAGTAGTGGGGATTCAAGCTAGGGAGGAGTCAACTGGGAAAGTAGTCAGTAGTGGTGGCTGAAATTCAGTGTTGCATTCAGTGTTGTTCAGTGTCTTACTCTCCTGCTGGGTTCTGAAAGCTGATGGAGAGTGAGGTGAGCTACATCTTCCACAAAGGTGGAACTAAGAGTCTCAATTCTAGTCTTCCAGGTAAGATACTCACCTTTTATTAAAGTCAGCTAGTCAAAAAGCTGTCAGACAAATACAAGTTACTCTCAAAGATAGTTGAATTTAGGAAGACCAGTTCTCCTTACAGAAAGTTGCACAGAACTGCTGAAGAAACCCATGGGACTGAAGTGCTTAGGTGCTTTTGGACCTCCTCCAGCAAGCCTGTCAAGACCTTCAGGCATTTTAATATATTTGACAGTCTGCCCATCACTTCATTTGTTTTACCTCTTTGGGTTGCATTTGTCCAAAATAATCACTTGGGCTGGCACCTAGCAAAGCAGCAAGTCTTGCATGTGGACCCTAATGAGTATCTCTCCAAGAAGACAAAAATAGGTGAAGTGAAGGGAGCGAGGTCAGGGTGAGAACAGAAAGGAGAAATGCCTTCAGGCATGTTGCGCACCGAGTTGTTGATATGGTCAGCTGAGAGTTACAGCCACAGTTTGGACCCAAGGCTGCCCTTGTTGGTGCAGTGTGTTTGCACTTTGAGCTCTGCATGAAGATAGTGAAGGGTCTAGGGCACAAGTCTTACAAGGAGCAGCTGAAGGAACTGGGGTTGTTTAGTCTGGAGAAAAGAAGGCTCAAGGGAGACCTTATCGCTCTCTACAACTGCCTGAAAGGAGGTTGTAGTGAGGCGGGTGTCAGTCTCTTCTCCCAAGTAACAAGTGATAAAACAAGAGGAAATGGCCTCAAGTTGCACCGTGGAGGTTTAGACTGGATATTAGGAAAAATTTCTTCACATAAAGGGTTATCAAGCATTGGAACAGGCTCCCCAGGGAAGTGGTGGAGTCACCATCCCTGGAGGTATTTAAAAGATGTGTAGATGTGGTGCTTAGGGACATGGTCTAGTGGTGGGTTTGGCAGTGTTAGGTTAACGGTTGGACTTTATGATCTTAAAGGTCTTTTCCAACCAAAACAATTTATGATTCTATAAAGCAACTATTTCTACTGTTGCTCATTTTGTGTGGTTATAGAGAATTTTAAACATCTTATGGAAGAAAGAGTATAGTCAGCAGGATAAGAAGAGTTGCATGATCCACTTCTGGAATTTCCTTCTATTTTTATTTTTTAATGGTTCCTACTGGGAAAAAATAATATATGGTAGAATTTCTTATTTAAAATGTTCCCTTCTTCTCTTACACAAGGATCACAGTCTTTCTTCTGTTTTCTGCTCCTAAGGTTCCCCTCCTAAAGAAGCTCAAATGTTGAATTTACTTTAGGAAAAATTGACTTTCTCTTCTTAATTATCAGGACCACAACGGGATGCACAAGCAGCACGAGAGTTCATCCTGAAGATGTTTGTAGACCTGAATCCAGATAGTGATAAAATTATCTACTCCCACTTCACATGTGCTACAGACACAGAGAATATCCGCTTTGTCTTTGCTGCTGTCAAGGACACAATCCTACAGTTAAACCTGAAGGAGTACAACCTGGTCTAGCTGTGTCTAGGAGACCCTCCAAGACCACCTTTGTGTGATTGAAGATACACAAGAGGGACTTTATTATCTGTGAAAACAAATTGCGTAACACTAATTTATTGCCAGCATGGACTCTGTGAATGTACACAGAGTTTTTAGTTAATATTATTATTTTATTTAAACTATATGGAGGAAAAAAAAATATGCTGAAGTACATTCACAGTACATTTTCTTAATTTTGGGGCAAAATCTTGTGACTCAATGTGTTTTAAATTCTCAGTCATACACTCACAAAGGATAACAGTTTTTTTGCTATTGAAACAAAATCAAGCTGGTTTCTTCTTTCCCTGACCCTTTCTCTGTCCCTCCTTCCTCTCCCTCTTATGTTTTCAAAGGTACAATGGCTGTTTTCCCAGTTGCATTTCTGGTAAAATATTTTCTGTTGAGTGCTTTGGTCAGGAAAAATTAATCAGAACTGAAGTTATCAGTCATTCAAATTTTACAGAATGTACTTTCTCTGAATGATCAAAAGTACTGATAGTGTGTTTTTTAAATTCTTGACATGGGTCTTTTAATTCTGTCTTCACTTTTGAGGCTAGAATATTGAGATTGCAAAACAGAAATAGTTGTGCATGGATTTAGAATTTAACCATACTTTCACAGTTCAAAAAGATGCATAGAAGACAGTCATGAAATAATTAAAGACACAAAACTGGGATGTTCATGGAATATCATAAAATACCTTTTTAATTGCCATGTGCCATTATTTTTTCTTTATTCACAAATGCCAAACAGAAATGTCACGGACACTACATTTTCCTGAGTGGCTACAGCCTAAAACAGCGGTGGTTGGCTTTTTTTTTTTTTTCCAATTGTGTGCATTTTTTAAGTTAGAGATTTTTTAAAGCATGTTTTTCCACAGTAGAAAAAAATATTTTTGTTGTATAAAATCTTGCCAAATCTTTTTATAAAACCAATACTTTTGAAACATAAGATAATGAAATGCCAAACTGATGGAATAGGAACTGACCTGATTGAGTCAACTGCCAAATTATAAACAAACATAGTTTCAGCTCATATGTTCCCTTTTCTAGAAAGCATTCAATTTTCTAATGCCAAAACCAACAGTGTGAATGAATATGCTACTAGGTATACATGTATAGAAGACAGTTTAACTCTCTCCTTATGTCAGAGAGAGGATGAGATTGCATTAAATGTTTTCTGTAATAATATCAAAGCACCTTTGTACAGCATGAAATTATTGACTGATCACATTCAGGAACCTTTCTTGATAAGATTGCCTCTTAACCAATTCACAGACATTTGGTAGGCTTCATGCAAAATAGCCTCTCTTGATGTTCTTTAGAAAGATTTTTTAATGTAAATGAAACAGTGAGAAAATCACTCGACATTCATATGTGCGTTTTGTTAACAAAAATGTAGCACACATTGATGAGCATCTTAGGTTGAAAGGTGTTTTTTTGACCAGGTGCATGATTGCTAGGAAAAGAACTCTGAGGTCAGATGTAATTTGATTGATTACAGTGTCAAGTAGCACTAGAGTGTACTTCGTACAGAATTTGCTGCCTCTCAGCAGTGGAGTAGAGGTGGAAAGGGAATAACTTATTAGTTTAGTAACCAAGTTAACAATAAATACTAATGATATGTTTTTCATACTTAACCCTCCCAACTCCAAAACAACAATAATAACAGTTGTTTTTTTTTACTTCCCTCATAAAACACCTTATAACTGAAAACTGGTTGTAGGTATAGTGCAATTATGAATGCTATAATCACTGTACATACATATATATATATGGCAGCATCCATATTGGCTTTATAATAATTATTTTTGGCAAATTGAATGTGCTGTGTTGATATGTATCTATGTAATTGTATCATATGTCTTACAGCTAATTTACATTTTAAATAATGGTTTTTTATTTACTTGTTAAGAGAAGAATGTACATTTTGTCATTTTATTTCTGACTAGGGCCTTGTTTATATTTTAAAAGCAAAAAAAGCTTATTATAGTACAGAGTGGTACTAGCATTGTGCTGTGTAGAATAATTTGTACATTCCTGAGTAAAAGTAAATTGGAGACATGCAGAGGACATTCACAATCAAAACAATGCTTAAATCTTGTCAGGGCTTTATACAAATGTAGAAACTGGCTTTGTTGGGAAAATTTATGCCATTATATCTACGATTGGAACATAAGCTCTTAAACATGAATTTGTATTTGGCATATTCAACTTTGGGTAATTTTACCTTTCTAATAGCCTTTATTAGAAAAGTTAATGTAGAGACATTTCAAACCATTCAACGTAAGTACTAAATGAGTATATGCTGTTTCCCTAAAAATATCATGAAAAAACACAGAACGTTAGATCAGTTAAATATTGTTTCAGAAATTACAGAAAACTTAGATCTAACAACAAAAAAGTCACTAGTGTTAACATTTTTAAGGAGCTAAAGAATTTTATTTAATAAAGCAAAAGCAGGTAGTTGTAGGTTACAAAAAGTGACACTGACATTCTAAACACGTGATCAGAACAATTGTTCTTGTTATATATGTCATTATAAACTTGGTCCTGATCTTGCTTATAAACATAACAAATCTTCTGTTTCCACTGTTGATTCTGAAGTGTGTGATAAGATCCCTTCTTTTAACCTGGGAATACATTGGCCACCTTGGATTTAGTGATATAAATAGAACTGTATAAAAAACAAACAAACCCAACAAAACCCAACCAAACAAAAAAGTGGTGGTTAAAAAAAAGGTTTGGGGTTTGGTTTGTTATGTTTTTGATTCTGAGGGAGGGGAATGGTGTTTTAAGTTTTGTATAAAAACAAAACAAAAGTGTACTCATGCTTTATAGATATATTGTGATTGCAAATTTCAAGAGTGTGTGCCACTGGGCGACTTCTGGTATATTTTAATTGAGTTGAACCTGTGGCAATGTTTAGATCATTTGAGCATATTCTGCAAAAACATATATTCAGCATGCTAATGGCAGCCTTACATGATTCACCTAGCACAGCATTGCAGTGTGACAGTGTTTACAAAAACATTTCCTTTTTAAATGACAAAACTATTCCCACTTGCAATATATTCCATTGGTGTTGCTGTTTTCCATTATGCATTATAGTGCTTGAGTCCAGAAGTATGTGCCACTACCATGAAGCTGAAGGCAAAACCAAGACAGAAACCCTTTTAACTTTGCCAAAATTATGTTATTTCATTGGATGTCATAAATGGGAGAGGAGGGAAGGAAAATATCTCGGGTATCTGTGTATTCCAGGTATTCACTAGTACAAGAAGGCTGTAATATGTGTTTTACAGAAACCTTAAACTTGCTTTTTTCACTAACTGGGACTGTCCTGACGTACATAGGATAATGAAGCTATAAGAGCAGTTTACTTTTTATAATTCAGACTCTTTGGATTTTATAGAATCATAAATTGTTTTGGTTGGAAAAGACCTTTAAGATCATAAAGTCCAACCGTTAACCTAAAACTGCCAAACCCACCACTAGACCATGTCCCTAAGCACCACATCTACACATCTTTTAAATACCTCCAGGGATGGTGACTCCACCACTTCCCTGGGGAGCCTGTTCCAATGCTTGATAACCCTTTATGTGAAGAAATTTTTCCTAATATCCAGTCTAAACCTCCACGGTGCAACTTGAGGCCATTTCCTCTTGTTTTATCACTTGTTACTTGGGAGAAGAGACTGACACCCGCCTCACTACAACCTCCTTTCAGGCAGTTGTAGAGAGCGATAAGGTCTCCCTTGAGCCTTCTTTTCTCCAGACTAAACAACCCCAGTTCCTTCAGCTGCTCCTTGTAAGACTTGTGCCCTAGACCCTTCACCAGCTTTGTTACTCTTCTCTGGATGCTCTCCAGCACCTCAACGTCTGTCTTGTAGTGATAGTACCAAAACTGAACACAGCATTTGAGGTGTGGCCTCACCAGTGCCAAGTGCAGGGAAACAATTCCTTCTCTAGTCCTGCTGGCCACACTGATACAAGCCAGGATGCCATTGGCCTTCTTAGCCACATGTCCACGCTGTCAGCTCATATTCAGGTGACTGTCAACCAGCACCCTTAGGTCCTTTTCCACTGGGCAGCTTTCCAGACACTCTTCCCCAAGCCTGTAGCATTGCATGGTACTGTTGTGACCCAAGTTCAGGACCCAGCACTTAGCCTTGTTGAATGTCATCCAATTGGCCTCAATCCATTGATCCAGCCTGCCCAGATCCCTCTGTAGAGCCTTCCTACTCTCAAGCAGATCAACACTCTTGTTGTCTGCAAATTTCCTGAGGGTGCACTCAATTCACTTTTCCAGATCATCGATAAGGATATTGAACAGAACTGGCCCTAACACTGAGCCCCTGGGAACACCACTTGTTACTGGCCACCAACAGAATTTAACTCCTTTCACCACAACTCTTTGAGCCCAGCCATCCAGCCATTTTTTTACACAAGAAAGAGTACACCTGTCTATTCCCTGAGCAGCCAGTTTATCCAGGAGAATTCTGTGCCAAAGGTTTTATTAAATTCTAGGTAGACAACATAAATTACAGTATAAACTGTAATTTTTAGTCATACTGCCACAAGATTGTGAAACACTTTTTAAAGTTTCAACGTGGAGAAGAGACTTTTTGCTGGCTGTCAGTCAGAATTTACTGCATGATTTGCAAAAACTTTAAAAGGGGGTAAAAGGGCTGCATATTAAGACATTGCTAGACTCCGAGCTTTTGGTTGTAAGATACAAAAGACTTTCAGATTATTCAACCTAATGCCCCTTCCCTTGTTATGCATTCTTCACAAAGTAATTAAATAATAGGAGAAAGCAAAGATATGTTATCCAACATGGAAAAAAAAGCCCAAATAATTGATTATATATGCTGCTCTTCTTGGAGCTCTGCGCGTGTTTATCCTGCATTACATTAGTAAACTAATGAAGCGTGCACAGTATATTAACAAGGCCTATGAATGACCTACCTCTAGTTA